GGCAGGAGGCTGGGACCAGGGTGGAAGAAGTGGAAGTGACTTTAAAAATATTCTGTCTGGGTGTAGTGCCTATAGTCTCAGCACTTTGGGAGGCTGAGGCAGGAGGATCACTTGAGTCCAGGAGTTGGAGACCAGCCTGGGCAACATAGCCAGACCCCTTCTCCACAAAATATAAAAAAATTAGTCGGTTGTGGTGGTGTGTGCTTGTGGTCCCAGCTACTCAGGAGGATAGCTTGAGCCCAGGAGTTTGAGGCTGCAGTGAGCTATGATCACAGCAGTGTACTGAAGCCTGGGTGACAGAGTGAAATACTGTCACAAAAAAGAAAGAAGAGAGAAAAGAAAAGGACAGGAGGAGGAGAGGGGGAGGGGCAGGGGCAGGGATCTTCTGGAATAAGGACTAGTAACACCGGGGCTTGGGTTGTGATGGGGAATGAGGAAGAGAATGATTAAAGAATCACTCTCGCAGGTTTTGTTTCCTGGAATGAGGAAGATTGGCATGGGAGCAAGTTCTCTGGGGCTGGATTTGGTTGAACCTAACAGGATTCTGGATTGTGAAGAACCCAAGTTTTTGTTTGTGGCTTTTAATTATTCAACTCAAATACCTTTTAAAAATGATTGATTGATGGATTGACAGGGTCTCACTCTGTCGCCCAGGCTGGAGTGTAGTGGTATCATCATAGCTCACTGCAGCCTCTGACTCTTGGGCTCAAGCAGTCCTCCCACCTTGGCCTTCTACTTCCAGTCTGCTGTCTCCTCTGCCAGGTGTCTTCTGACCGTTTCTCTTTCCATCTTTGCTTCCTACCTCCCCACAGCATGCTTAAGGCTCTCCCACTCCTGGCCTGGGCTTTACAGGCCTCCTGCCTGCACGTCCTGCCTGCTCATCCAGCGCACTCATTTCTCACACTCCCTCTTTCTGGCAACGGTCAAGGGCTTCTAGTCATTTTGATACTGCCTTCTTTATGGCAGCAAAAGGACAGTTACAGGGAGTAACCTCAGGCGGCATGCATGCCCCCACCCCCAGTCTGCATTCTTGGGTGGCGTCCATGATGCTGAGTCACCGCAGTGTTCCACAGACCCCCTTTCTGCATGGAGAGTCTTGCGGGTCGTTATCAAGAGTAAATACTGCCAACTCCTAGCAAACTTGGCCAGCTTACTAATCTGGTCGATTCAGAAAATCAAGATCAAGAAATGGAAGTTACATAGCAACTGCCAGCACTACTAACACCAAACAAAAGACAGCTAGGCCAAGTGAATACTGGGACCGAATGAAAGGAGGGAAGAGTACAAACGGCAGAATTGTTAGGGAGGGACTGAAGCTGGCACAGGAAGTGGCTGACCTGCCACACCAGGAAAGGGAACAACTGCAGCGAAAGCTTGCTGTTTTATTTTTGTTATGTGTAAGTGCATTACAGCCATGATAAAATTTATAGCTTGCAATTTGTTTTCACATACTGCTGCGTTCCTGAGGAACCATTTATAAAACCTGCTTTTTCTCTATTCTGTCAACTTCAGGAAGACTGAACTTCCAAAAAAAAAAAACAAGTCTTTTTAATTTCTCCTAAACAGAACATTACACAATCCAAACCCTACTAAAATAAACACCCTAGCCTAGAATTTACACTCAAGGACAACTTGTTATGGAGGTTGAGTACTTAGACCACATTTTGTAAGAGTGGAAACATACAGAGGATACTCAGAGCCTTTTCAGATGTTTGTATTTATGTTTTTGTCCTGCTCTGTGCCCATGTAAATAATCTGATTCAACAGTGTTCCAAGGCGATCACCTTGGTACCAAATGACATGGCTACTTTCCAAAACCATTCTTTTGTGTAAGTACATTTAACCTTTCAGTAAGTTCTGAATACCTCAGGCCACAGATCAGAGCTCATGTACTGGTTTCACGGCTCTTTCTTCCTTCTTTGTTCAAAAGGTGTTTGCCTCATGGTCACTGCCTGGGTTTCTTCTCTCTGTCTGTCTCTGATTTGAAGTGGAAGCACTTCCTTTCTTCTCATGCTGTTTGAAGTTGCAATGTGTGTGACTCATCCCAGGCTAAGTGTTTTGTAGATGGGCAGGGTGGGTCCCCAGCTACTAGCTGAACCCTGAGAATCGACCGTGGCTGTGGCCATGAACGCTGGCCCTTGTCCCCATGCAAAACCCACTGAGCCACGCCCAGGTCTGGGACCAGTGGCCATGCCCCTCAGTCATTAGCTCCTCCCATAAAGTAGTGGCTGCATATGTATTGCATGCTGGCAAATTACTTTCTCATATGCTTTTTACTTTATTTTTTAAAATTGTATTGCTAATCTTCTCTGTATCGTCCCAGTTTTAGTCTATGTGCTGCCAAAGCGAGCACATCATACTCTTTTTATAGGTGAGGAAAGGAAGGCCCGGAGATCTTAAATAACTTGTCCGAGTTCGCTGAACTGGAACATTGACTCTCTCAAGTCTCAAAACTCTTTCTACCGAAAGAGAAAGATGCATTCTGAGGAAACCATGGTTATTCTGTCTTTGAGAAATAATTTATTCTAGTAAGTAAGATTTTGGATATTCTGAAGATAAAAGAAGCTGGCAGCCCTGAGAAGACAAGAATACAAACGGCGAAGTTGTTAGGAGGCGAATCACTGACCCCCGAGAAGCCGGGCTCGACAGCGGATGCAGAAATGCTGCTGGTAGTTTGAACGTGTGAGAGGGCCTCTCCTGAGATGGGAGGGCGGGACTCGGTTTTGCATCCATTGTCGCTCACGTCTGCTTAGGAAGGAATGAGAGGCAGGAAGGAGGGAGGAAGGGTGTGGACTGACCTCCCTGTCATCTGTTTTGCTCTTTATATGCTCTTTGTGTCTAGGTATTCACTGTGCTTTTGTTACTTTAATGGATATCTTATATATAAGCCTTCTCCTTAATTTGGGTACTTTTCATATGAAAAAAATCATGAAAATTTAAGAGGCTGGGAAAGCCAGCTGTGTGAAGCAGGGGTGAAAGGCTGCTGCCCTTTTGCGAACAGAACAGTGAACATCAGAGCTCCTTACACTGATCAGTATGCAGTTCTCGTCTCTTCTTTAGGGCAACAGCTGTACCAATCAGAATTATAATTTTGTCCAAAAATATTTCAGGTACAGAAGCAAAAGCCCCTATTGCAGTGTGTAACACACTCGGGAAGCACCTGAAATATTATTGATTTAAATAGTGATATAACTCGACACTGTGATCCCTCCAGTATTTCACCGCTGTGTTCATCACTTTCTCTTAAGTAACACTTTGTTGGCAAGGTCTAACTTGAATGCATCTCTAAAGAGCACTGTTGGTCGTGGAGGATTTCCTTGTCAATTTTTCATGCAAGGTGGACAAAATAGAAGAGGCATTTTTTTTTACCTCTTTTTAATGATGACAGACAAAAAAAAATAGTATGTCCAGAAGAGGAGTATACAAATTTACCATCTCGTTTGCTTTTGGAGTAAGACTGAACTGCTTTGAGAATGGCCTGCAAATATTTGTAGATCCCTGTTGGCTGCACAAATGGCAGGAACCATAGCTACAGAACTTAACTACAGATCTTTTCATTTGGTCCATTGTCAGATAAAGATATCTACTATTAATTTTGAATTCTGGGTAAACACCAGTGATCTTAATTTTCAGGTTCAAGCTTTGAGGCATGTTTATACCATCAAGTCTACACAATGCATTCATACTTTTGTAATCAACTCTTCCTGCCCCTTTTGGAAATGCACCTATGCCAGGGTATTTTGACTCTATACGGTCCTTAGGTAACATCCCCTTGCATGAAAAGACTTTGTCTTTGGAACCAGTTTCCCTTCCATTTCTATGAATTAACCAGTTTTTTAAAAATCCTCATTTTGGAGCTAGTGTTTCATGCCTTTTTCAAAAGGGAGAGAAAAGTAGGGTAGAGAGCTAATGTGCTGCAGGAGCAGAAAAACAGGACTTGGGATCCGTCAGAAAGTCAACCCGTAGGTTATAATCAAAGAACCGTACGGCTTATTATTGATGTGACCATTTGCAAAGTGCTTACGTTCTGAGTGACAGGAAAGTGGAGATCATGATGGCCGTGACACCAGCTTGACAGCGTTGGGGGAGGATTGGTATCTGTGATAGTCTTTGAAAACTTGAGATTCTAAGGTTTTTATTTCCTGATTCCATTGCTTTAAAAAAAAAAAAAAAAGCTTTACTGAGATAAAATTCACATACTTAATACATGTCACCCATTTCAAGTGTACACTTCAGTGGTTTTTAGTATATTCACAGATATATGCAGCCATCAGCACAGTCAATTTTAGAATATTTTTATCACCTCAGAAAGAAATCCATACCCTTTAGTTATCACTTCCTGGCCCCCTCCACTGCCTTTTTAATTTTTACTTTGTGTTTATTTATAGAGACTCTAGAATAGTGTTTTAAATTAAATTGAGTAAAAATAAGATTATTTGTGGATGACATGAAAATACTATCAAGAGCAAACCTGTAGGGCTTCCCAGTTAATGCTCTAAGTGCGTTGGCAAGATGAGGGATGATGAGCTAAGTGTTAATAAATGATACTACTAGGAAGAATACAATTCCCAGTCGTGTCTATTTTAAGAAGCAGAGAAGATGGCGAGTACTCACTGTTACTGTTGAAGTCACAGACGCTTCCCGCGTGCAGGCTGGGGAGGAGTGGGTGCGGGATGAGCAGAGAGGGCGGGTGGCACTGCCCCCCAGAAACAGGTCTTCCCAGCCCAGGAAATCCACACTTGTGCTCCTTACCTGTCCCTCAGCTTTCTAAACATGAAATGACTTCATGCGGCAGAGATGGGAAGGAAAGAAGAATGGATGGATGGATGGAAAAAAGGAAGGAAAGGAGGGAGGGAAGGAGAAAAGAGCCACTCTGGGAGCTCCTGTGTTTTTTTGTGCAACCCAAACATTAAGTTGAGGCATTGAAGCAGGGTGAAAATCTGCGTGCATAGTGTTGACTGTGGAAAAGGAACTCAACTGTGGCCTCCTTTCTCTTCCAGGCCGCCAGATCCCACCCTTGGACCCCCTTGAAAATGGAAACAGTGGAACGATCAAACTTGGGAAGCCAGGCACGCAAGCCAGCCGGCGGTGCTGCTAACCCAGGGGCTGCGGTGCTTGAAGAAGCCAGAGCCATGTCCCCGTGCACTGCTGAAGGACCCCATGCTCGGTGGCCTGCACCTCACTTTGAGAAGAGTGAGCACCCTGGCTTTGTATGCTGGAAGATCTGCTGGGCAGAGCAGGAAATGTCCCCAAAAAAGGAATTTAGAAAAAACTCTGGAAAAACCCGCCGTACCATCACGAAATGGCCTTTAATGCGTGAAATGCATATGGGAGGAATTATACTTATTAGGTAATAAGAATAGCTGCATTTTTTTGTTAAAAACCTTAAGAAATTCTCAAATTTGTACAAAAGTCTTGCTGCCTTATGTGTATGGGATTCTAAGGTGGTGTTCCACTTGGATTTCCTCTGTTTACCTGGCCAAACTTCAGTAACTTCTTCAGTGCCATTGCCTTTGTTACCTAACCAACTTCACTGGAGGGAAATTTAATTTAGAAGGTTAGTTTTAGCTAGTTTTGGAAGTAAGCCTTTATTTATTACTTTTCTGAAGGAAATCAGAGAAGTGTAAGATTCAACCATTGCTCAGACTGAGATTTGAGCTATTATAAAAGAGGAGAGAGATGTACTAGAAACTGTTGTCTAATCTCTTTTAATTGGTGAATGTTTTTGTAAATTTTAGCCATATATAAACAAACCAAATTGGACTAAATAAAATATTGCATATAATTCTGGGATTGGGAAGCCTAGTTTGAAAGAGTCATTTAAACAATGACTATGAGGCCGGGCGCGGTGGCTCGCGCCTGTAATCCTAGCTCTCTGGGAGGCCGAGGCGGGCGGATTGCTCAAGGTCGGGAGTTTGAAACCAGCCTGAGCAAGAGCGAGACCCCGTCTCTACTATAAATAGAAAGAAACTAATTGGCTAACTAATATATATAGAAAAAATTAGCCGG